AAACATCGATCAGCCGCCTCCTGCACATCCCCCACCGGGGATGTGCCTGCAACCCAGGTACATGCCCTTGACCGGAATCAAACCTGGGACCCTTCAGTCCGCAGGCCGACGCTCTATCCACTGAGCCAAACCGGCTTCGGCACACCTTCAATTTTAAGTGATAGCCTTGCTGGGTATAGTATTCTTGGATTCAGTCCCTTGCTTTGCATCACTTTGTATATTTTATTCCATTCCCTCTGGCCTGGTGTGTTTCTGTTGAGGAATCAGTTGATATTCTAATGGGAGATCCCTTGTAGGTAACTTTCTGTCTCTCTCTGACAGCCTTTAAGATTCTTACTTTGTCATTGATGTTTTCCAGTTTAATTATGATGTGTCTTGGTGTTGGTCTTTTTTGAGTTCATCCAGTTTGGAACTCTGTGTGCTTCTTGGACTTGCGTGGTTTTTTTGTTGCCAATATCAGGGAAGTTTTCTGTCATTATTTCTTCAAACAGGTTTTCTATTCCTTGCTTAGTTTCCTCTCCTTCTGGGACCCCTATTATGTGGATGTTGTTTCGTTTTGTGTTGTCTCAAAGTTCCCTTAGGCTCTCCTCTTACTTTTTAAGTTTTCTTTCCAGTTGCTGCAGTGTTTGTGTGTTTTTTCCTACCTTATCTTCTAATTCGTGGATGCGATCCTCAGCCTCTTCTAGTCTACTGTTTAAGCCTTCCATTGTGTTCTTTATTGCAGCTATGTCGTTCTTCATTTCCTCTTGGTTCCTTTTCATGTTGGTGACATTCTCATTCAGCTCCTTATAATTCTCATTGAATTGTGTGTATTTGTCATCCAGCCATTTGAGCATCCTTATAACCATTACTCTGAATTCTTTCTCTGACATGTTACTTGCCTCCATTTCATTTAATTCACTTTTGGTGATCCCTCTTTTTCTTTTCTTTGGGGATTTTTTTTTGTCTCCCCATGTTTTGCTGTAATATTTTAATTGTTCTGTGTCCTAGATACAACTGCTTTGCTGCCCAGGTTCTTTGGGGGATGGTGCTACTGGTGTGATCTTTCAGGTCTCCTGGGCTTGGTGATCTAGCAGAGCTCCCTACTTGAGCTATTTGGGTTCTCTTGATGTAGTTGTATCTTGAATGTTAGTTTCTTATTCATGGATGAATTCTTGTCATGGGGCAATGTGATGACTCACCCCCGGCTTCGTTGTGCAAGCTGTTTTGGATGTGATTGTGCTTCCAGCTCTTGTGGAAAAGGTTGTCTGAGGTCTCACTGCTATGTGCTCACTGTGGGTTCCCAGAGTCTACAACCTGGGAGAAAGGAGTCTCGGGGCCTGAGGCTCGGGTACTGTGACTTTTGCCAGTGTGGTGTGACTCTTGTTGGATTAGCCTCACTCTGCAACTCACTATGAGAGGCCCAGAGCCTGTGACAGTGTGTGTGTGTGGGGGGGTGTCTCGTAGTCTGTGGTTAAGGCAGTGGGACTCTGGCCAAAGTGATTTCCCTCTCTGAATCACAAGGGGGTTCAGAATCCAGCAGCTGGGGATGTGTGAATCTCGAGGTCTGTGGCTGAAAAAATGTGACCTTGCCCAGGGATGCAAGTCCTCAGTAACTCACCAAGTTGTTCAGAGGTAGGTAGCCAGGAGGGGGATGTCATGGATCCTACTAAGGGAGCTGTGCGCCCTTGGTTGCAAAGGCACATGCCCAGTGGCAACACACTGAGAGGCCCAGGAGCTGTCTGCAACAGGTGTGTGCTCGTGGGGGCCACATGCTGGATCAGAGCGATTGTGGTGTGCCACCAGCCCTGTAAGGGAGAAGTCCCAGTTTCTGCTTCAGGGGATGTGCTCCCTTGGTTGGATATGAACACCCAATGGCTGTTTACAGAGTGCCCAGGAGCCGTCTGCTGGGGCAGTGGGCTCAGGGGGCCCTTGTGCTTGAGCGGCGCTACCATGGGGACTGGATTCCAGTGGCCGGGGTTGTTCTTTGCGGCAGCTTAGAGAAGAACCCAGGGCCGCCTGCTGGGGCATCAGGCTCAGGGGGCTTTTGCGCTGGATCGGTGTGACTGCAGTGACCAGAGAGGTTGGCAGCTGAGGAGGGAGAAGTCTGAGTTTCTGCTGCCAGGGCCTTGAGCCCTTCTTTGGATACAAGTGTGCCTAGTGGCAGCTCACAGAGGCAACTGGGAGTCGCCTGTTGGGGCAGTGGCCTCAGGGGGCCTGTGTGCTGAAACCACATGACTACAGTGTCTGTGGGTAGGCAGCTGGGAAGGAGGAAGTCCAAATTTCTACTGCCAGGGCCTTGTGCCCTTGTTTGGATACAAACACTTCCAGCCTAGGCTTAAGGAGGCACCCAGGAGCCGCCTCTAGGGGCAGCGGGCTCAGTAGGCTTGTGTGCTGGAAAGGTGCAACTGCCGTGTCCAGAGGACAGCAGCCAGGGAGGGGAATGTCCCAAGTTTTGCTACCTTGCGCCCTTAGTTGAAATCGCGCGTGCCCACTGGGGGCTCACGAAGCACCCAGGAGTCGTCTGTTGGGGTGGTGGGGCTCAGGAGGCCTGTGCTCTGGAAAGGTGCAACTGTGGTGTCTGGAGGTTGGCAGCTGTGGAGTGGAAAGACTCAGTTTTTGCTGCCAAAGCCTTGGTTGGATTCATGCATGCCCAATTGCGGCTCACAGAGGCATCTGGAAGTCTTTTGCCAGGGCAGTGCAGTCATGCACTCAGGGGGACCCTGGCGCTGAAGCCACATGACCGAGGTGTCTGTGGGCAGGCAGCCAGGAGTGGGAGGAGTCTGAATTTCTACTGTTGGGGCTGAGTGACCTTGTTGGATATGAACACACCCAGCGGGGGCTCACAGAGGCACACCCTTTGTGGCCTTGGGCTCAGTAGGCCTGTGCACTGGAAAAGCACAACTGTGGTGTCCAGAGGTCGGCAGCTGTGAAGTGGGAAGACTCAGTTTTTGCTGCCAGGGTCTTGAGCCTTTGTTGGATTTGTGTGCACCCAGTGGTGGCTCACAGAGGTACCCTGAGGCCATTTGCCAGGGTGGTGCACTCAGAGAGGCCCTTGTGCTAAAGCCACGTGACTGAAGTGTGTGTGGGCAGGCAGCCAGAAGTGGGGGAAGTCTGAAATTCTACTGCTGGGGGCCTTGCATCCTTGGTTGGATTCACATGCGCCCAGTGGTGGCTCACAGAGGCACCCACGGTCCATTTGCCAGGGCAGCACACTCAGGCACTCAGAGGGGCCCTCGCGCTAAAGCTGCACAACCAAGGTGTCTGTGGGCAGGTATCCAGGAAGAGGGAATTCAGAATTTCTACTGCCGGGGCAGTGCATCCTTGTTTGTATAATAGCATGCCCAGTGGGGGCTCACAGCGGCACCCAAGAGCGGCGTGTGGAGCGGTGGGCTCAGGAGGCCTGTGTGGAGCAGTGGGCTCAGGAGGCCTGTGCGCTGGAAAAGCACGACTGTGGCATCCAGAGGTCTGCCGCTGGGGAGGGGGGAAGTCGCACTTACTGCTGAGGGAGCCGTTCACCCTTGGAGGTGGAGGTCTTAGGGTCTGCAGGTCTGCGGGTGGGGCAGCAGGATTTTGGCTGGAGTGGCTGCAGGGTCCAAGGCCTGTCTGGGTGGTGTTGCTAAAGAGTTCCTAGAAGAGGCTTCTCTCCCCTTCAAGATGGTGTGGGCTCCATGCCAGAGCCCCACAGCCCAGGAAGTGCCCACAGGGGTGGTAGGTGCTCCCTGTCAAGGAGAGGCTGGTCTGCCAGCCCCTGCTACTCGTGCCAGATTTAACTGTCCCTTACTCACTCACACACACACCACACACATCCACACACTTTCCTTTCACCCCCTCACTCACTCACATCCTCTCCCTCACCTCCATCCTGTCAGCTGCCATCTTTCTCTTCCCAGGACATTTTCTTCTATTTTTTCAACGTCCTGTAGTTTTCTGAGTACAGGTATTTTGCCTCCTTGGTTAAATTTATTCTCAATTTATCCTAATTATTTTGTTGTAATGTTAAGTGGCATTGTTTATTTAGTTTCTCTTTCTGAGAATTCATTATTGTTGTATATAAAAAGCATCAATTTTTGGGTGTTGATTTTGTATCCTGCTACATTTCAAAATTCATTTATTAAATCTAGTAGTATTTTTTGGTGGAGTCTTTAGGGTTTTCTATGTACAATATCATGGCATCTGCGAATAATGAGAGTTTTACTTCCCCCTTTCCAATTTGGATGCCATTTATTTCTTCTTGTCTGATTGCTGTGACTAGGACTTTGAGTATATGTTGAATAAGAGTGGTGAAAGCAGACATCCCTGTCTTGTTCCTGTTCTTAGGGGAAATGGTTTTAGTTTTTGCCCATTGAGTATGATGTTGGCTGTAGGTTTGTCGTATATGGCCTTTATCATGTTGAGATATGCTCCCTCTATTCCCACTTTGCTGAGAGTTTTTCTCAAAAATGGGTGTTGGATTTTGTCGAATGCTTTTTCTGTATCTATTGATATGATCATGTGATTTTTGTATTTCGATTTCTTTATGTGATGTATCACATTTATTGATTTAAGAATATTATACCAGCCTTGCATCCCTGGAATAAATCCCACTTGGTCATGATCTATGATCTTTTTAATATATTGCTGGATGAGATTTGCTAGTATGTTGTTGAGGATTTTGGTGTCTATGTTCATGAAGGATATTGGCCTATAAGTCTCTTTCTTTGTAGTGTCTTTATATGGTTTTGGAATTAGGATAATGTTGGCCTCATAAAAAGAGTTTGGAAGCATTCCTTCCTCTTGGATTTTCTGAAATAGTTTGAGGAATATAGGTGTTAATTCTTTGAATGTTTGGTAAAACTCCCCTGTGAAGCCGTCTGGACCTGGGTTTTGTTTGGTGGGATTTTTTAAAATTATTATTACTGCTTCAACTTCATCAGTTGTTATTGCCTATTCATGTTTTCTGATTCCTCCTGATTCAGTTTTGAGAGATTGTATTTTTCTAGGAATTTGTCCATTTCATCCCCATTGTCCAGCTTGTTGCCATATAGTTGCTCATAGTATTTTCTTACAATCCTTTGTATTTCTGTGGTGTTTGTGGTTACTTCTCCACTTTTAAAGAACCAGCTCTTGGTTTCATTGATTTTTTAAATTTTTAAAAATCTCTATCTTATTTATTTCTGCTCTAATCTTTACTATTTCCTTCCTTATACTTACTCTGGGCCTTTCTTGTTGTATTCTTTCTAGTTCTTTAAGTTGTAGGGTCAAATAGTTTATTGTTGTTTTTTCTTTTTTTGTTTTGTTTTGTGTTTTTTGTTTGTTTGTTTGTTTTTGAGGTATGCCTGTAGTGCTATGAACCTCCCTCTCAGGACTGCTTTTGCTGTGTCCCAGAGATTTTTGGATTGTTGTGTGTTCATTTTCATTTGTTTCCAGGAAGTTTTTTTATTTCTTTCTTGATCTTGTTGGTAATCCCTTCATTGTTTAACAACATGCTATTTAGCCTCCATGTGTTTGAATGTTTTTGGGTGTTTTTACTGTAGTTGATTTCTAATGTCATTCCACTGTGGCAACCTCCCACAGCTGAGAAGATGTTTGATATGATTTCAGTCTTCTTGAACTTGTAGAGACTTGTGTCCTAACATGTGGTCTATCTTTGTGAATGATCAATGTGCACTTGAGAAGAATGTATATTCTGCTTTTTTGGGGTGACATGTTCTATAAATGTCAATTGAATCCATCTGGTCCAGTGCATCCTTTAGAGTCTCTGTTTCCTTGTTAAGTTTCTTTTTTTTTTTGGAAGATCTGTCCAGGGAAGTCAGAGGGGTGTTAACATCCCCTACTATGGCTGTATTGTTGTCAATATCTCTGTTAAAATCCTCTAGAAGTTTTAAAAAATATATTTAGGTGCTCCTATATTGGGTGCATATATGTTTATCAGGGTTATATCCTCTTGTTGGATTGATCCCTTTAGTATTATGTAGTGATCTTTGTTGTCTCTTGTGGTGGCCTTCATTTTGAAGGCTATTTTGTTGGCTATGAGTATTGCTACTCCAGCTTTTTAAAATTTTATTTTCCATTTGCATGGAAAAAATTTTTCCGTCCCTTCATTCTCATCTTGTGTGTGTCTTTTGTTCTGAGGTGGGTCTCTTGTAGACAACATATAGTTGGCATTGAGGACAAGGAGACAAGTAAGAAATCATCCCTGCCCTCAATAAGCTCACAGCCTATTGGAGAAAGAGAAACAAGCTCTCAGTTATTATAGAGCAGTGATGGCAAACCTTTTGAGCTCAGCGTGGCAGCATTTTGAAAAACCCTAACTTAACTCTGGTGCTGTGTCACATATAGAAATTTTTTGATATTTGCAACCATACTAAAACAAAGATTTATATTTTTGATATTTATTTTATATATTTAAATGCCATTTAACAAAGAAAAATCAACCAAAAAAATGAGTTCGTGTGTCACCTCTGACACGCGTGTCATAGGTTCGCCATCACTGTTATAGAGGATACTCAGTGAAATTACAATTAAGCATGGAGGGTGATGGTGGCACAGACAGCAAGCATCTGATTCAGATGGTGTCACCTAAACTGAAACCTGAAGGATGAGTAGGACTTAGCCAGGCAAAACTACAGTGTGCATGTAACTGGGGGTTATGGCTGGAGGTGAGGGTTGCAAACAGTATTCAAGGTAGAAAAAAACATCATGTCCAGAGATCCAGAGGGAGGAGAGTGAGTATGACCAGTTCTGGGAACTGTAACATCTCCTAAGGTTCCAAGGGAAACTCTGAAACTCCCATCTTTACTACAACCTTATACACTAGATCTGATCCTTTCTAGGTCTTCAAGTTTTTCCTATGCTTTGACAGTCCCCCACCCTTACACACACTGTCCCAATTTAGTACACTCATTTCCCGACTGAGCTTATGTTCTATCACACCAGACTGAACTCTGAAGTCCCCTGGCCAATCCCAGACCTTGGGAAAACCCCACATCTCCTACTCTTAAGTAAAATTCAGACACTGGTTAATGATGTTATAATTTCTTGATAATCTTGGTCAAGATTTGACTGTATGATATATAGCAAGGCCATGAGCTTTGGAGTCATGCAAACGTGGGTTTGAATCCTGACTTCTTTACCTCCCATTTCTGTGGCCTTGGATATGGCACTCACTATTTTAAATGTTTCCTTTTCTATAAAATAGGAGTAGCATTACTATCTACTTCTAAAAGTTGTTGTGAAGATTAAATATAACATAGGTATACAAAAATTAAGTCAAAACGAACCAAAGACCTAAATTGAGACTAAAACAATAAAACTGTTAGAAGAAAATATGGGACAAAATCTGCATGACATTGGATTTGGCAAAGATTTCCTGTCTATGTCACCAAAGGCACAGATAGCAACAACAACAAAAAATAGACAAATTAGACAATGAAAAATTAAAAATTTAGTTCATTGAAAGACACTATCAACAAGGTAAAATGTTAACCCAGCCCTGGCTGTTGTGGCTCAGTTGGTTGAGTGTCATACCATGCACCAAAACATTGCAGGTTTGATCCCTGGTTAGGGCACATGTCCTGGTTGCAGGCTCAACCTCAGTAGGAGGGATTCAGGAGGCAGCTAATCAATGTTTGTCTCTCACATCTCTCTCTCTCTCTCTCTCTCTCTCTCTCTCTCTCTCTTTCAAAATCAATTTAAAATGTCAATCCACAGAATGGGAAAGTGTCTGGAAATCATATATCTGATATCCAGAATATACTTAGAACCTCTAAAATTCAGAAACAACAAATAAATAAGCAACCAGAATAAAACATGGGCAAAGGACTTGAATAGACATTTCTCCAAAGAAAATAAATGTCCAATAAACACATTAAAAGATGTTCAATATCACTAGTCATTAGGGAAGGGCAAATCAAAACTACAATTGTTACCAGGAACCTCTTGGTTGGGCTCGGGCTGCCTGTTGCTGTGTCCAATAATGAAGGCAGGGTTGAATCATACAAGACATTCATTGAGAAGGCCAGCCAACCAAGAAGACAGGGCACTTACAAGCATTCAAATCCTGTCTTACAGCAAGGTGCAGGGCACAGGATTATAAAGTGGAAGAGGCTAGGGTGATGCTGGGAACAGAATGTAGCTATTAGCAGCCCTGGAGGTCCGAAGACATCAGCTATTGTCCTTCGATGAGATGATGTTGATGAGATGATGTTTTGACTCCTGGTGGGTCGGTCTGACCATGCTTATTGGTTCTGCTTGCTAGATTCACAGCTGAGTCACCTCCTTAATCACTTGGCACAGGCCTTGAAAAGGAAACTTAAGAAGAACGTAACCCCCTATTCACATATAAGGTACTTAACCCTTTATTCACATAAGTATATGTGTTCTAAGATTTAAAATAATATGATTATTTTTCAGATTAATTCAGGTGCTCTATCTATCTATCAGATTATAAGTCCCCCTACCACAACAAGATACCCATCTTACACCAATTAGGATGGCTACTATAAAAAAGAAAGAAAGAAAATAACAAGTGTTGGTAAGAATGTGAACAAATTGGAACCATTGTTCACTGTTGGTAAGAATTGTCAAATTGTATAGCTGCTATGAAAAACAGTATGGTGGTTCCTCAAAAATTGAAATTAGAGTCACCATATGATTCAGAAATTTCACTTCTGGGTTCACCCAAAAGAACTGAAAGGGGAGTTTCATAGATATATAAGTACACTCATACTCATAGTAGTATTATTCACAATAGCTAAATCATGGGAGCAACCCAAGTGTCTATCAGGATGAATGATTAAGGAAAATGTGGTTGTAAATGGAAAAATCCAGTTCTTTTCCTTCTGTGTCTTTCCCTTACTCTCACACTACTACCAAACTCACAA